TTGTTTTTTAGTTCCCAAATGCTTTATTCATTTTTCCTTTGTCTTTTATCTCTCTGAATTTCATTTTGGATAGTTTCTATAGCTGCATCTTCAAGTTCATTATCTTTTCTTCTGTATTATATAAATCTATTGTTGATCCTATACATTTCATTTTTATGGCATACTTTTCATGTTCATATTCAAATTGCATATATTTTCCTTCTCTTTGTGTAATATGATTCATATTTCCTTTATTTGAGCATATGGAAAACAGTTATAATACTGATTTAATGTCCTTGACTACTAATTCTATCTTCTGTGTCATTTTTGCATTTGCTTTTATTGATTAGTAATTTGTATTTTTCTGCTTTTTGGAATGTCTGGTGACTTTTAATTGGGTGCCAGATAGTTACCTTTTTGGGCACCATGTACTTTTGAATATTGGATTATAGTCTTCTGGTTTATTCTGCAGCGTAGTTATTAAGTAATATTTCAATATATCCGAACTTTGCATGTGAGCTTTTTTAGGCAGAAATACAGAATCTGTTGGCCTAGGGATTATTTTGCCCCAAACTGAAGCATCACTTTCTGAGTAGTCTGACTGATGTTCCAGGAATTATGAGATTTAATTGACTCTGGTTGGTGGGAGTAAGAATATTCTTGACCCAGTATAAGCTCTCAGAATTCTTCTCTTTGCTTCTTTTGTGTGGTTCATTCCCAGCTTTGGGTAGTTTTCTCACTTTAATTCAGCGATCAGTGCTAAGTTATAAGTCCAAGGAGGATCCTCGGAGTTCTGCCAAGCTCTCCCTCGTGCACCTTTCCTCTCGTGGCTTCTCTTCCTGAAAATGGACAGAATCTATGGATTCCTAGCTGTGTCTCTTTGCCTCTAGGAGACTGCTGGACTCTGCTTGCATTCTTTCTACCTATGCTGCAGCCTGGAAACTCCTGTCAGGAAACTGGGGTAATCATAGGGCTACGCTGCTTGTGTCCTTTCTTTCAGGGATTACTATCATTTTTTTTTTTGCCTGATGTTAAATGTCTAAAAGTTGCTTCTTTTTTTTTTTTTTTAATTCATTTAGTTGCATCAGACAAAAGGGTATATCCAGTGTTTATTATTCCATGTTGTCTGGAACTAGAATATCTTTGTATTTTAGATAGAAGAGATTTCAATTTTTCATATATGATGTTTAGTATCTTGTAGGGTGCTGTATCACTGTAAAGAAGAAAGAAAGAAGTATTTTGTTTTTTTTCATGTCTTGCGTTTTGAAGTGTAGCAGCCATTGACTTTGCAGACTGGATGTCACAAATATTTTGATTCAGAAAATAATGTGAAACAAGATTTTATGTACAATTAAAGATAAAATTAATTGAATCGATTCTATAAGAAAAAAACAAACAACAAAAACAAAAAAACTACTCCTTTTCATTAAGGTGCAGCCATTTACCAGTTTAGGCAAATGATTTGATGCCTCTCTCTGAAGAGTCAAGTACAAACAAAAATTTAAATTCGAAAGAAAATTCCTACCCCTCATCACATCTTGTGATGAGGAGCAGCAACTTTATTAAGTATTTATTTGACCTGTTTCTAATTCGTTCTTTGTACTTAGTGCTTATTTACTGTGCCCTTTTTCCTTTCATTCTGCAAAACACCTCCCCACCCCAGTGTGAACTGTGATAAAAAAAAATACTTGAAACTTAATGGCACAATTACAGCACCATATTATCTTCTATTCAACTTGTGATTTTTTAAATTGTAGTTTGACATATTCATTGAACTTTTTGCTACTTCATTTCCTTGTAATGTTTGTTATGAATTTCTTGCCTGCCCAAAGCCATAATTCTTTATGTATATTTGTTTTTTTTCCATTCACTAAAACAGTATTTTTATCACCTATGCTAAGAAATCAAATCACTTCTTAATGCTTTGTGGGATGTTTAATGTTACTCTGTCTCAAACATACTCCATTATCTACCTCAGACTTAACCAGCAATACTATTTTTAACCTTCATCTCCTTTATAAGAAAATAAAAGCACACCCCTACATTATTGGGAAGTACATATATATCCTTTGTGGATAAAACTGTGGTACATAACAATGAATGGCCTGCATATTAGACCAAATATAATCTATTCACTAATTGGAAAATACATTAATTTTGTGGACAACAGTGTGTCTCATAGGAATGAGTGGACTGGAAATTGAGTCAAATACAACCCATTTGCCTATATGAAACACAGGTAAAAGCACAAAATTTAACCCACATTAAGCAGTACAGTATTTAGAAAAGCTTGGTTTAAAGAACAGAAACAAAAGCAAACAAACAAACAAACAGCAAAAAACAAAACAAACAAACAGACAAACACAGCAAAACAAATACAAGCAAACAGAAAAAAACATAAAATATTTTAGGAAATCATTAATGGCATTGGAAAATATGACCAGATTGGTTGAAAACAGTTTATGAATTATTGTGTCACAATACATTATCTCCCATAGCTTTTAGCAGTGTCTTAATGAGAGTAAACTCTTAATTAGGTTATTGACAAAAATCTACCGTACATACTGCTGTTAGAATAATGTTCTTAAAATGCTCTTTTGATTGTACTATTGCCCAGCTTGAAAACCAGTAATGGCTTTTTATTGTTGCTTTTTGCCCCACTACCTCAGATCTCCTATGAGCCCAGGAAAAGTCATTGTTTTCCTATTTCTTCATCTTGCGATGGTGGGGGTGAGAACCAAAGCGACAACTCCCAAATGTTTACATGTCAGCACTGAAGTTAGATGTTCTCTGTTCAGATTATTTCAGTCCCTCAGTTTACTTTATATACAGATGCCCACTGGGTCTTGGAAGTTCATGTTATGGTACTTTGCTTTTATGAAAGATCTACATCAGTACCTGTTTTCTCTAACTGAAGAAAACCCCAAAGGATGTTTACTTTTAGAAAAAGGACAAAAAGCGAAAATAGCATTTAGTGTTTGTTTTGCAATGAGAGTGTCACTCTGTTTACTATATGTTAGTGTTATTTTAGGTTTCATGTGTTATTTGGTATGATTTGGTAAGTTACTTTTCTTGTCTAGGAATGTTCAAAAAAATTTCCATGTAAAAGAATAGCAGTTTTTTCTTTGCTTTATACCATTTTAGCTTACGAGAGGTTTCATAGGAATACTCTCCTTTCGGATAAAGGGAAAACCTGTATTTCAATCTTCATGTATGCTCTTCCCTGTATGATGCACACCTTTATAGTTGAAGAAAATAAATAAGCTAAAGAGATCATTGTAAATTTGAATATGTTGAAGCTATTCAATATACTATAACCACAAGAGAGTTAATACTAGATTGATACTGCATTTTATAATGAAAGCATTGGAGCGAACTTTGTTTCCAACCTTAAAGATATGTCGCTATTAGCAGAAAATAATAAATGATTTTCAGTTGAATATTGTCATACATGGTAAATTCTGTTTTGATACTTGTAATTTCAGAGTGGCTGGCGGAGTCCACATCAGTAAAGTAAAGCTCCCATCACAGGGAATGAACTGACTTAGTGCACTCCATTTAAAGCATCTTGCCAAGGGACTTTCATTCAGTTATAAGCACTTCTTATATTAATTTTTTTAATATAAGATTCATGTTCTAAATAGAAACCCAGATTAGATTCTCTCAAAGTGCTCTATCAAATCAATGGGAGAATGTGTAGTTCTTGGTTAATTTCAGCTTGAAATTCTGTAATAGTTATTTCTAGGGTTTTGGATGGGCAGAAACCTCCAACTTTACAGTTAATAGCCTGAAATCCCCAAAAAGCTATATGACACGTGATTATTTTAAGTGTTTACAATTCAAATGATTTTTATTTTAGGATTCTGTGAAACCCCTTGCGATAATCAGAGATTTGTCTAGAGCGAAGTGATGACATCTCTGACTATCTGGTTTGGGAACCGGAAGAGGCAAGCAGGCAGGCAAAATGATCGTGACTTCCACATTCCTAAGTTTCCTGAATATATCCTCTGAGTGTGGAATTGGATTCTAAAAGTGTCAGAAAGAAGTTAGTCTTTACTGTTTGTTTGTTTGTGTGTTTGTGTATTGAATTTAACTTTCACAGAAAAAAGCAACAACAAAAACAGAAAAGGGATTTTGAGGTTCAAACTGTTTGCAAACTTGTTCTACAATATTCATGGCTTGAGATGCTGAGTTTGGATCCTGTTACCTAGCTATGTGACTTTGGGCAAGTTACTCAATCATCCTGTGCCATTTTAAAATTAAAATAATATGTTACTTTGTGGTTTTTATAAGAGTTTGGCTGATGTGTAAAATGATTTGAATACTGCGAACACTATCTGATACGTATAGACAATGTTTGCTAGTATTGTTAAGGTTTTGGTGTTATAATTCACAAAACATACTATCAAATTCACATCATAGTTTATTTACAAGGAGTTCCACAGAAGAGAATTGCTTAGAATTGTTAAAAAAGAAATAACTGCAATGAAGCAATCTTATTTTAGGATATATCAAAACCGATGCTGGAATGCCTTGCATGAACAAGAAAATTAATCAGTTATTTTAATTCAGCCCTTTCTCTCTATCTATGCACAGTGACCTTCCTTTTCATCCAAATATTTTTTTAAAGTATGAGGAAATCTTGATATTTTTATTTAGAGTAGAAATTATTCAGCTATCAAAATACGAGTCATATTCCTTCCGGTTATTTTGTTTACTAGAGAGACTCAGGATACAAAATGGTCCCTTTTTAACTCTTTCCAGGATAGATGAAAACACACTGGCAGAAAGGCAAAGCATATCAGATGATATTAAATATGTTAGCGTTTCAAGGCGGCCTACATCGGAAATGGTGTTTTGGTTAATTTCCATGTTATTTTATCAGAAAGCTAACTCTTAGCAGCGTTTTATATGCCTTTGGATTTAGGATATTACGTTCCCTTTGTAGGGTTTATAAGTTTCCACTTTCCATATCTTTCTTCTTGTTAATTAGATATCTATCTACTCTCTTCCCTTTATAGATGTCAAGTTTGTTGTTACTGGTTTTGCAAAAGTCTGCTTAGAAGGCTTGTCCCTAAAATGAGGGACAAAGCAGAAGCTTGGGCCAGTTATCTACACTCTTACAGGTGGGCTTTCGTCTTCTGTTATTACCTGTTGAGAACGAATAAATACACTGGTTAGGAGATGAGCTCTAACATTCTTGATCATTGCTGGCTGGTAACAAATTTTGTTTCAGTGGTGTGCTGTCATCCTTTGAGAATAATAGCTTTTGTGATCACTCATGCAATAAAACAATTAGGAGTTCCTCTGTAATGCTGAAGCTCTCTGGGAAGACAGCACATTGTTTTCATATTTCGAAAGATGAGCCTTTGAGATACCTAGTAGCTTGAAATAATAAACCTGTGCATGCTGGAAGCTCTTATCTTTCATGGAGTTTTTGGTTTTACCATGCAGTTGATGTGCATTTCCAGCTGACTACTATCAGGCACTTTTGACTAGCTGAGTGATTTGTAATGAAGAACATGATCATTTTTTTTCTGAACATACCACCTGTAGGATCTCTATTAGATTATTTTAAGGAAGAAAAAGGTATGATAGACCATTGGTTGTCAATTTGGACGCACCTAAGAATCACCTGAAGGTATTTTTGAAAATTACGTTAGCCGGGGAATCTATCTCCAAAGATTCTCATTTAATTAGATGTTGATGGAACCTAGGAACTTAGATTTTAAACATTATTCTTATATCTGCCCAGTAGGTAAGCGAACCGAATCACTGTACACTACATCTGCCCCTTTAGATTAATTCCTATGGCTCTGAGTTCAAAACTAAAGTTCTCCCCACCCCCAGCAGCAGGCTTTGGTTCTGATAAACAACAGTAATGATGGACAACGTTGAGATTGCTTAATAATAAATATAATATAATATAATTAATATAATATAATATAATAAATATAATATAAATCACTGTTGAACTTTAGTTTTTTTTTCCTCTTGATGAGCACAACTATGTTTTTGAAACAGTGAAAGGCTTGCAATTAACCCGATTATGTACAGCCACTGTGAATTGCCTACAGAGTCTAACACTTGCTGGGTCAAATGGTGTCTGAAAAAGTAGTTGTCATTTATTTTCTCTGCTTGATCTTTTTATGTTGAATAAATGTACTCAATATAAATAAAATACGATGTGCCATGACTGATGAATCATGTTACTCTGTATTCCATGGAATTGATCCATTTGTTAAAGTTGTAAAATATTTTTCTCAATTTTAGAGCTTTAGAAATTAAAACTCAAAAGTTTTTCCTCTGAACATCAGTTAACATATATATCTATACTCCTGAAATTATGTATTTGTTTCTAAATAATAACATGCTATTAAGTTCAATTAATTTCTAATATAAGCTTAATTCCTAGAGTTGCGTAAGTGTTATACCAAGGATATATACCTGAGACTTTTCAATCCTGTGATAGCAATCATGCAAACCAATTGTGAGGTGTCTGATTAGTTGATGGTTTTCTTTAGATGAGCTATGCCAGCTATATATATATGAGTCCATTTTATACCATTCTGTACTATTGTTTAAGAAATTGGTAGAGGTAAAGCTGTGTCCAATGACTTTATTATGATTTTTATAAAAGCAAAAAAAAAATCAAATAGGTTTACAAAAATTGTGACTTATTTTAAAATATTTATTTATACTTTTAAATTATAATACTATGTGTGGACACAGGACTTTCAGTGCTAAAACCAGGACAGTCCCATCAAAACCAGGGCAGTTGGTCACGGTACTCAACTACGATAGCCTCTATATTAACTATCCTGCTCTAGTTCTACCAGCCTGGTAAAACCATGGCCTAATCCACTGGAGGAAAATCTCTCATCTGGATAGACTAGCTCCACTATAAACTCATAGTCTGTCCATAATACTATCTGAGAATCCAATACTATTTATATCAACAGCTCTTTTCTTGGCTTGCTATTGTATAGTTAACTTTCTTCATCGTTGTCCTTGTACTTTATGCCCCTAACTGCCACACTGCCCTCCCCCTACTTCTCTGAAAAATAGCAACGAAAAGAAACAAAAACATTATCTAACAGATTCATTGAACTTATTGCCACCAGGCCTAAATTTCATCTCTACCACTTCTATCACCTTTTACTTAGAATAGAAAAAAAAAATCACTTTTTATCCCAAGCTAATTCTTTCATTTGTTGTCTAAGGTGGTTTCATCCTGCCCCTCCCAGCCATGCTCCAATTGGACACCCAATCTAAGTTATGCTCATTCCAAAGTAACCCCGAAACCATTCCAATGTTATGTACTCCAGTGCAAGCACATATCTTAACTCAACCCTTGATGGTGGCTTCATAACTAGTCACCTCTTTCTCATATATCTACTTTCCAATTGTTTTATGACATTGAACTCAAGTTATCTTTGAACAATGCAGACTGATCAAATCTTTCTTCTTAAATAGAAATAATCAAATACTTCATTATGCTTAGCATCAAACTTCAAAACATTAATACGGCCTGCAGCATCCTTTGTCATCTGGCCTAAGACTATGTCCAGTTTTATTTCTTCCTCTTTTCATCTCTGCTCCAAACATACTAAACTTTTTCTTGTGTTTCCTGGAATAGGCATGCTGTTATTTTACTTAGAGATTTTCAATATGTTGTTTCTATTTCAGCCATCTCTCTTCACCTCGCTATTACTTATTTTTCAAATTACACCTTATATGTTACCTTTTAGGAATCCTTTCTGAGAGCCTTAGACTGGTTAGAAGCTCCTATTATTTGCTCTCATGGGACAGTGTACTTCCCCATGAAAGCACCTGTCCCAGGCTCAATATCTGCCTCCCATACTTGACAGTGAATTGCCCAAGAATCTTGTCTTTCCTTTTCACGATTGCATACAAGACAACGATTTCAATGCTAGGACATAGTGAATGAGCTCTGTACATTTGCCAGTAAAGTAAATAAATGATTAAACTTAGTTTTAAACATTTTTCTTCTGGTATCTGGGTGTGTGTATTACCAGAAATATAAGATAGTTTGTGAATATTCAATGTGGTGCTGCCATAGGGACGAACAAGTCAAGTACATGCATTTTTCTTAAAAGGCAAACCTACTTACAAAGGAGTACGCATGGTCTTATCAGAATACGTCTGTATGCATGAGAATTAAGAAAGAAAGTGTTTTTAGAGTCATTGGCTTACACTTAAAGAGCTGTAGTTTAAAGAGCTGTTGAAGGGAACACCGCCATGTAGAAAGAGGTCATTACATGGTAGAGATGTTCGACGACCCTTTTGACGTGCCTCAGATATTATGGTTATAGCACCCTCCTCTTCAATGTCTGTTGCAGGAGCAAGGCGTTCCAGGATACAAGACTATTCCTTAACTTTTGATGGTCAAAAGACTATTGACAATTCATGTAAAACGTGGAGGAGAAAGATTGTGCAAACAGGTAAGGTTACAATGTTAAGTTATAATTCGGAGGCGTTAGGGATGTTTCCTCTTCCGTCCCTCTGAAAGAAAATTAATACTCACACTGAATACAACACACACACACACACACACACATGCACACGCACACAGCACTTAACACCCCGACCATGGCAGTTTAATCTGAAGTGAGTATAGGAATACAACCTTTTGAGTTATGAATTTCGCGATCAGAATTCTCTTGTGATATTTGGGCAGCAACATGAAACAGGGAGGCAGTTTGAGAACTTAGAAAGATTGCTGCCTTGGACAGTTTTAACTCTGCTGTTTGCTTGCTTTGTGACATTGAGCAAAGTACTTTATCCTATCTTGCTTGACATTTCCCGTCTATAAAATGAGGGATAACCACAATTGCGTGATAAAACATAGTTACTAGTTTATTACAAAGGTCAAATTAACATGAAGTTGTGCTAAAATAATGAATTATAAACTGTTTAGCTCTATTGGTTCCAACTTCTGTGGAGCTTCGTTCTCCCTCCCACAGATCTGCGGAAGGTGAGGCAACTCCTGGCAGACTTCCAGCAATGAGGGGTGGAGAAACTTAACTTGGCTTGTTGTTATACTTTGTGATCCCACATTTATGGTGACTATATCTCCACACGCCAGTTTATGGGGAACTTATCCTGCATTTGTTTTCTGGTGTTGTGCTGCCTAAGCACAACAAGTCCCTGGGGTTAGGGGATGCACTCATGGCAAAAGTAACTTCAAAAGTAATTTAAATATTTTGGTTTCGCTTTCACTTGGAATTGGGCCAGATATTTTTATTTTGTCATTTCTTCAATTCACTTTTAGTGGATTTCCATAGAAGAGGCAACCCTAACCTATTCTATTCTACTCTATTCTTATTCCCATTCCCATTCTGCTCTATTCTATTTTGTTATCCTCTTCTCTATTCCATTCCATTTCATTCTAATCACCATAATAACAAAGGAACCTCCCAGACATTTTCCTGGAAATAAAAAGCTCGGGATATGTTTTAGCTTCTATTTTGTATTCCAAAAGTAATAAAAGTACTTGGGGGGCTCTCTATGACCTCCTATTTTATAGTAGAGGCTATCTATAGGCCAGATACTACCTGCTGCATCAGGTAATGTGTGATCTCTGTCTGGAATGAATACCATGAGTTGTGTAGGTGGAATAGGAAATGGCAGAGGGAACAGTAACTTTGAAGTCAAAGGGATATTGCAATAAACTGTTGTGCATGAATTAGAAGTAATTAATTCCTTAAGTGACCTAATCATAAATAGATTTTCTTTTTAAAATTAAGCATTAGAATTACACTGAAGTATGTTTTACATATTGAACAAATATTTCAATTGTTGCAGATACTGTTTTAGGAATCCAGAATATGTGATGGATATGATTCCTGTTCGCATAAACATTACATTCTACCGGGAGGATATAATAAATGAACAGATATGTGACTATTGTTTTTATGTGGTGAAAGATCCTTTGAAGAAAATTAATCAGGACATTTTAACAGAAAATAACTAGAGGAAAAGTCTAGCTTAGGTTGGATAAATATGTAACTTGTGAGCTAAATGGCAAAAAGGAATCCATGAAGTGAAAATCCTAAACCAAGTAGAGAGCCTTGAAGCTGACTGCTGTACTAGAAGATTAAACAGAAGGCTAAGGATGCAGGAGCTGGGGGAGAGAGGACAGTTGAGAGCTGTTCAAGGTCCACTTCAAGTGGTCCTTTGTAGATTATCTTAAGAAATTAAGTTTGATTTCAATTGCAATGGATTGTTTCAAGCAGACAAGTATCCAAGTCTGACTTATTATGATTAAAAAAAAATAGAAAAAAGGAACACTCCCACTCTTATATGGAAAATGGATTATAGAGGAGAACATTTGGAAACAGAGAGGCAACTATTTGGGCTGCTGCCAGACAGAAACGGTGATGGCTTAAAATGAAGTTGTAGCAGTGGTCATCTTAGTAAAAGAAAGACTAGGTTTGAAAAAAAAAGTCAAAACAAATAGAAGCCATAGGGATTTGCTACAGATTTTATATGAAGGAGTCCATATGATTGGCTGATGTTTGACTTGAATGGTTGGGTGAAATGCAGCAACACTTGCTGTGATAGAGAAGGCTTGAGGAGGTTTGCATTTGTTTGAGAACGTAGAGGAATAAAGATGATAGAATCATTTTGGAATTTGAGCTCCCTATTGGACAAAGAAGACGTCCTTTTGTCATTTGGCTATAGAGAAGCAACCTGACTTGGTAGAAGAGCGTGCATTTGTAATTAGACTAAGATTTCAATCATGATTTTGCCATTTCCAAGCTGTGAAAACTTAAGCAACTTAAATTATTTGGTGCTCAACATTCTTTCCCATTAAAGGAGATTATTAATACCAAAATCCTGGGTTGATTTAAAATTTATGGATTATATAGTACTTTCCCCTTAGTTAGCATTCGGAAGTTATTTTTATCATGATCATTATCATATGTGTTCTGTACTAGGAGGAAAGAATGTATCATTTAGGGAGATATTGGCATATATATTATTTTAAATCTATGGATTTGATGAAATATAATGTAAAAACTAAGGGAAAAATTACATGATGGAAGGGAAGACGGACATTTAAGAGGGCGAGTGAATGGTGGTAGTGAAGTTGATGCTGAATATGAAAGAGATCTCATGAAGGAGAAGTTGGGAAGTTCCAGGCAAAACGAGAGGAGAAAGTTTGAGAAGGAAACAATAGTTGTCGCAGGTGATATGATAAGAGGAATAGGAGGGTGTCAGTGAGATGCAGTAATCATAGCAGTCATTATTATTAACCTTGTCAAGAATGTTTTCACTAGGGACAAAAATCTGTAGGAGGAGGAACACCTTTTCCATTCAGAGCGGTGTAAAAATATAATAATATGAACATATTTAGTTTAGCTTGTTATCTGTAAAAACAGTGTTGAAATAAATATTTTCTTAGGTGGGACACAACATCATGTACTTGGTGTGAGGGTGAATGGGTTTGGGTAGTGATTTGATGAAAGAGATGACAGTTGGAATAACTACCAAGGGTAATGACTTCTCTAAAATCCCATGCTAACAAGAGCAGTAAAAATCCTCAAAGAATTATTGGAAAACATTTGCTTACATTAAAAAAAACAGAACAAAACAAAAATTAGCACTATATTCTTAAGTCATTATCAATAAGAATATGATATTAAGGTACACTAAAATTATAGTATTAAAATTCAATGTAATTCAGTATCTTCTGTATAAACTAAATTGTGGTTCACATATTTTTACCAAAAAGGATCTACTAAAGAAAGACTATTTTTATACATTTCTAATCTAGAAGACATGCTGTTTTATTAATTAGTGTACAAGGAATTGTTAAGTTAGATAATTATGTTCAATTAAGTATAATTAATATAATTAATGTATTTGCTGTTTTAGGTTCTTGAGTTAATAGTGCCATTAAAAGCTGCTGTTTTCGTTGTGGTGCTGATTACTGTTAGAATAGAATACCAAACTTTGAAATGATAGGAAAGCAAAAAGTTTGATTATTTTTTTATAGCAAGTGTGCGTGTTTGTGCATTTTATTTTGATTGTCATTTAAATGTTAGATCATAACTTAAACACATTATGCAATGATAGCTTTTTAAGTAATTACATTAACCACTAAAATATGTTTTTATCTATTTAGAAAGTAGTTTTCACATTGGAGCATGGGTATCAAATTTTACTTGAAAGATGAGTGTACATGCCTTTTAGTTCCTATATGAATTTGTTAAACATCTTTAACATGCCAAATATTTTAAATAAGTTGGATTTTCCTTATTAAATGCTTTAATACTTTACTTTTATGTTAAAGCAATTTCTAACAATATCAGCCATAAATAACAATGTATAATAAAATTTTGATAATCATCATAATTTGTTTTCCTATCTACTAGTTCTATAAAAGATAGTAATGAATATTTAAATACTGGTAAATGAAAGTATTTCTTTTAGCTTTGAGCAGCGCTGAGAAAAAGCACATGATCTACATTTCTTGGATTATTAATATGAAGAGCATAATTGCATAAAATGTTTTTAACACTAGTTAGATATTTATCATTGATTCTTAACTAAAGCTGTATTGTATTACATTGGAGAAATGTGAATGAATTTTCAATAAAAATTATTTTTCTATATATTCCCATTTTAGAACGCAACACGTATAATTCCATGTATCTTATCTTCTGTCGTTTTAGTTATATACACCTGCAGGATGCCTGGCTTCCGTTATGAAAGCTCCTACTTATATATGTTTTGAAAGAATATGATATCCCTTAAATATTTATTTAACTTTAAAAATAATTTTACACCATTTTCTAGTAGTAAACATTTTCAGTTTTCCCCTCAATAATACATTCTGTGATGTTTGAAATTTTAAGTGGTGTCTTAGCATTCAAATTTACAATTTCCTTCTTGAAAAACGGAGATGGCTCTACTCTGTTGGGTATTGACAATGGATGTGGAGTTAGTTTGTCAACTGCATATACCTTTCTCTATTGGGAAGAAGATGCTGTTTCTGTTAGTTTTTGTTTAGCAAAAAGAAAATAAGATTAAATAGGGGTGAGAGATCTTAATTTGAAAGACTTTACCACTTTTTTGCTTTTCTTTTTTACACTTCAT